TCATGCATATGAAGTCATAGTTAGGTAGGCTAAGAAATTATGGTGTTCTATTGCACAGTAGCATAATTAGGTAATAATTATATGCTGTGTATTTCAGAAAGCTAGAAGAAAGGATTTTTAGTGCTTTCACCATAAAATACGACAAATGTTTGAGGAGGTAGATATGTTTACCCTGATTGAACATTACACAATATATACCTATATCAAAACATCACATGGTATGCCATTAATGTGTACAATTTTTGCTTATTTGTATCAGTTAAATGAATGAACTTTAAATATGATTTTAAGCCAATTTAAATCAAATTTGTTGAAGACAAAGCAAATAAGAAAACGGCATAAGAGCCTCGATTTTAAAGCAAAACTCATTCCTATTTAATAGAATTAATTCTGATATTCCTAATGTATCCTCATGTTGTTTTTCTGAAGAGCTGTATTAAAGATTTAAAATCTTGTGTTGAGTCCAGTGAAAATTCCTTATATAATGAAGACTATTACTGAAACAAGTGTTACTCCTTTTGTATCTTAATTACCTTAATTATCTAAATTATCATAAGTCTTTTCTCCTTTTCCTCCTTCCCTCCCTCCATGAATATGCAGATTCAGTTGATTCAACTCAGTGATACCAAGCATACAAGTGATCCCCACATTATATGTAATGAGACCATGTAAATCTACAAAGCATTTGTTTTCGATACCCAAGGAGTCATCCAACTAATGTCTATAAGAAATAATTAAAGATATGATTCAGTACACTATATCATTTTGTGCAGAACATATTAATGCACTCTAAGTCAGCACATGTTTATTAAGCACCTATTATAGTTGTATACACAGTGAAAAGGATGTGTATGTGTATTACATATTAAGATGCTTTTAATCTTGAAAGATGGCAAGATACGTAAATAGTATAAGACAGAAGAAGAAAGCTATTTTTAAAAAAGTACAAAGTGCTATCTTGATCAAGATTGAGATTGTAGCTCCCGGGAAAGATCTTGGCTTTAATGAGCAAGTAGTCCTTATACAGACATATTACAGTGGAGGAGGCTACAGGCAATGTTTCAGAGAAAGAAGCCATCATCAATAACCACAAACACATACACAGGCAAGCTGTAGCTCTACTGAGGGAATAGGAGTCCTTTATTTTGTCTGGGGCTTGGGTTCCCTCATGCTACATTTAGAGTAACCTTGGGAAATAAGGCTGGAAAGATTGAGGGCATACTCAGAAGAATTTAGAATATAAACTGGATACTTGAAATTCAAGAGTTATTACTGACATCTAAATGTTCACTCTATTTTACCATAGTGATTGCTACCCTAGGGAATATAGACTAACAAACTGTCTCTAATCTCTTCTCACTTATTTTTATCATTTACAATGTTTTCATAAGGTTCCATTGTATGGAGGTATCAATGTAGTTGTAATCATTCTCTTGTTGTTGCACTCATGGATTGTTAGTACTGCCATTGCAATAATATAACAACTTTCTTTTGCAAAATGTTTTCTCTTTTATATTACTTGCATAGGCTAAAATTCTAAATATTATACTGATTTGATAAGACATAAGACCATATAAGATTGCTAATATAGGGGCTGGGGATTTAGCTCAGTGGCAAAAAGTGCCTGCCTGGCAAGCGCAAGGTTGTGAGTTCAGTTCCCGGTACCGGAGAAAAACCAAAAAAAAAAAAAAAAAAAAAAAAAAGATTGCTAATATATATTATAATATTAATTTGCTTAAGCATCTGTGTAAATTTATAGTTCTACTTGAGGTTTTAATTTAGTAGCCCGTATGGATTTAAATTTTTGCCTCTAAGTGTCTTATACGTAATGGTAAGTCTCAGATAAATATTACTCCATGAAAGAGGACTGCTTATTTAAAAAAGTACTTTCAGTAAAAGAATTTTAATAAGTTTAATTAATTTTTTAGAAACCACATTCTGATAAGTGAAACTTTGTAGGTAATATAAGGAAAATAGAAGATCATTGTGGATGGCTGGTTGGCAATTATTTCAAGAAAAGCATACAATGAAACAAGTTTTCTTGATTACTTCCTCCAACAAACAACACAATAGGAAAGGTAGGCGAAATGTTCCATAAATGCTATGAAAAGAAAGCTAGAAAACCTAATATGAACTTGGATAAATGACAACATAAGAAAACAAAGAAATATTCTGAGATGAATGAAAGGCAAACATTCACTAGAAGTAGGGTTTTGTTAGGTCTGCAGAGAGAGAAGTAGCACATTTGACTTCACCGTGATTCACAAGCAGTACCTTGAAATTTTGTTGACGTAGGCCTCTTCCACCACCTTCTCCCTAGAACTGAGACTGGCTCTCTTCCAACAAAGAATGAACAGAGATGGGTTACAACTACCGAATAATTTGCAAATTTCATCAGTTCAGCAGTGTCTACCACACAGGAAAAATTTTCTGATTCTTCAGAAATCTGTAAATTCTCAACCATACCAAAAAGACTGTGCACTGACCATTCTGTATGAGATGCTTCAGCTTCCTCAAGGTAAATATTTCTTTAAATGATTGGAAGGATAACCATATAGAGAAATTCCTTACTGAAGTTCATCAACAGCTGGAATACCTAGAAGCACTAATGGGATTGGAAGCAGAGCAGAAAGACAGTGTCTTGAGTAGTGAGAACCTGAGATTACAGACTAAAGTGTACTTCTGAAGGATGAGAAATTACCTGGAAAACCAGGGATACAGCAAATGTGCCCAAGTAACCATTGTCCAGGTGGAAATCAACCAATGTCTGTTATTTTTATTCAGACTCACAGGAAAGCTGAGCAAGTAAGAAATATATACTTGAACAGAATGGAGCAAGAGCTAACCACATTAAAGCTTTAAATGCATAATTTTGCGGAGGAGTGAGATATTTATGTGAACATTATTATTTCTTATTTTAAATTGATAGCATTGTTTTATTTATATATGTATATGTATATATAGTTAACTGTATTTGAAGATTATTTCATTCATAATTGGTTTTATTTTTTATGTCATTTTCTGTCTCCTATCTATTTAAATTGCTTGTAGGTTAAAATAAATTCATTAATATTTCATAACTCTTTCTTCAAATAGGTATGTTTTCACAGAAGTTGGCAGGTAACTATAAGGAAATATGAGTACAGTGTAACAACTTCTTTAACATAGAATATCCATTCCAGTTATCCCCTTATGTGTCAGAAATTATTAGAGGTGATGAGAAATACTATGAATAATTTGGATAGGAATAATTTGCATTGTAAAATTTGAAAATAGCATTACATACTGAATATTTAAGTTACAGAAGATAAAAGGAAATGTGCCCAAAGAATAAGCACAGTTTGCAGAGAAAAAGAACCTACATGAAAAAAGATTCAACCTCACTTATAATAGTAAAAATATAAATCAAAAAATAAATAGCATGTTATTTGTAATCTAACAGGTAAAATCCCAAAGTTTGATTTCAACACACACGTGCACGCACACATACACTCTTAAAACACTGGGGAGGGATATTCCTATAATTTGTATAATTTACACCAGTGATGGTGCCATCATTATGAAGGCAACTTGCTATTGTCTATCACAATTGGAGATGCATATAGCCTTAGATGCATCAATTTTAGGCATGGAAATATATCTTATAAAAATACATATGTGTATGTGTGAAATGACAAATACAATATTGTTCACTGTGACATTATTTGTAAATCAAAAGATAGGAAGCTACCTAAATTATTCTGATTAGAGGTAAGTATATTCATGTAAAAACATCATTCAGCCAACAAAAATAATGAAGAGCTCTTCCTATACTTAAAAAAATAGGCAAGATAGAGAATAGTGTATATAAGATGCAATGTTTGGTTAAAGATGTGAAATAAATTTAATATTTGTATTTACTCTTTGTGAGTAAATGCAGACTTTATAAGAAATAAATTAAAATTATAACCTGTATTTGGGGGAATAGAGGGCAGAATAAGGGAGGCAATCAAGATGGAAGAATTTTTACTGCTCATTTTCACATTTTAATTTTGAATCATGTGACTATTACAAATTAAAATTATAAGTTACAATGTATCTAACAACTCACAGTTATCACAAATATGTATGTGTTGCTGGTGTTAGGTGAATGTTAGAAGAAACACGGTTTAATCAGAGTGCTCTTGGTTGGGATGACTAGGAGGACTAGAGAGAAGCCTGACATGTCAAGGAAGAGGGTTCCTGCTCCTGGGAAACTCATGTAATGGAGATATCCCAGCTCTTCTAACCAAGCCCTTTCAGAAGTCACCCTAGAACATTAAAGAAGGATAAATCTGAGTCATTTGCAGGAAAATGGACTTGAGACCATGATGTTAAGTGAAATAAATCAGGCAGACAAGCTTAAATATTGTATGTTTTTTCTTATATGAGAAACACAAAGTATAAATAATTTAAAGAGCCAAAAAAGGATGGGTAGTAGAAATCATGGAGCTAGATCTTTTGCAAATGGAAAAGGGATCTACGGATGGAGCAGGAAGAGAGGAAAAGTAAAAAAAAAACTGATGTGTTATCCACATACCAACCCCTATGATAAATGTGAGTACTATGTCCTGCAAACATGTACTAATAAATTCTTTTGTTGGAAAAGTCATCACGGGACAAATGTGGGGCCAGGAGACTGAAGTTTATTGAAACTTGGTGGCTTCCCACATTGACCCAGTGTCAGAAACACAGCCATAGCTCAAATTCCCAGAGCTAGTTCTACTACTTTATATTCTGCTTCAGATTCAATGCATAATTCTAAACAAAGGCTATTATTGAATGTAAAACCTTGGGAGGGAACAAAATGTGTTCTAGTTCAGTTCAATTAGTGGAAGTAAGTAAATCAAGTATCTGCTGATGCTTCTACATTTGTTTTCAAACAGAATACGGTTCTGGTGGTGAAACAGAGTCAACTGCAGTAGTTAAAGGAGGCAAGAAAACAGAACCTGGAGGTCAGAAGCAAGTCTTGCTGACTTCACAGTGAGGTCCAGGAGCTGACCTGTTTATCTTCAAATTCACACAAAGGTAGTGAAGAGGAGGGAGGAGAAATACCACGCTTGACTGCAAATACAGGTCACTTTGCTTCTCATGATCTGTAGTTTTTGTTTTTCTGCTTTGAACCAGGAAGTTTTTAGAACAAAAAAACTGCATTAGTTTGTGTGATCCTCTTCTTTTCTCAGGTGAGAACAAGACTTTAAAGGTGAAGTTATATGCTCAAAATAATGCAACAAGCTTGGAGCAAGAAAATTGCAAAGCAAAGATTCCATTCCACGTTGAGCCAATGCAAAAGCCTACACTGAGTTCTTGAAACTGCAAATCTGAACAACATTGTGCACTATCACTGCAAAATAATCACATGTTTAATGGCAATCATTTTCTTCTTTTAGGCTTCTTTTGCTTTTCTTTTCTTTTAAATCAGATAAAACAAAAACACAATCACAAAAAAGATGCAGAATGTTAAAACAAGATCATAGGAAATTAATAGTGGTTGTTAAATTACATCTTGTTATCTTGACTTTATTAAAGTTACAATACTCTCTGCATTCTTTAGTTAAAGAAAGGACATTTCCTTTCCTCTAGACACTTCTCTCCCAAGAACTGGGAAGCTGAAGGTAAGTACACATAGGAAAGGGGAGAAGAGGAAAAAGCCACAGTTCCTTTAATGCAAAACTAGAACAAAAGTGTTTCTGGTTCTTGGTTGCAATGACTAATGGAGTAAGAAGGAGGGAAGATATAGGAAAGCAGTATTCCCTCTAATCTCTTCTCTTAGTGAAATTTTTGAAAGGTTATACAAGTCCCAGATGAATCCAAATTTGAGGTATTGCTCCTTCATCTGCAGGGCACTACCTGAGATAACTTCTATAGGACACAAGGTATGTTTTGGCAGCTTCTACCAGCAGTCGCTGTCAGATTCCACAAAGGTGATGAGTGAGATGGATGTCACTATAAAGTCAGTCATTGCCAAGCCCTTTCCATTTTGTTTGACAAGTGGTGTCTAAGGTTGTTAGCAATGAAAAAGTGAGGAGAGTCACACTTGGAAAATTTATATGATCCAAGCCCAAAAAGGGCCTATGTGACTCCTGTCCAAATTTCATTGGTAAAAGTTTAGTCACATGGCCCCAACTACTTGCATACCAGAAAATATTTTCTTGAATTTGTCTCTTTCTAGAATTATTTGTCAAATGTAGTCAACAATATTTAACACCTAGTATTTGTGCAGGTTTTCAGCCTCCTCCCTTAGAATTATAGCTCAGTGGGTATATGTCATGCATTCTAAAATATGTGGTGGTTTTACAAAAAGCTTTATCATTGTTTACCATAGATAAAATTTTCATTAAATAAAATTCTTCACTACTATAAAATCATTCACTAAAACAATATAATGCACTGTGTTACCTTTTTGTCACTATAATACCTGATATAACCAACCAATAAAGAGATGATTTATTTTGACTTATAATTTTGGAAGTTTTTTTCCATAATTGTTTGGCCCTGTTACACTGGACCTATGGTAAGACAGCCCATCATGTTGAAAATATGTGTGGCAGAAGAAAACTGCTCACATCATTTCCAGGATGCAAAGAAGAAGGCAAGGAAAAATCAGGGTCTCATAATCCCCTTGAAAGACATACACCCATGATCTGAGTATCTATGGTACACTTCTCAGTGGTCTCACTTCCTCCCAGTAGTACCACCCTGAGGACCACACCTGTACTACATCTACCTCAGGAAAACTTAGCATCCAGACTATGGTGTGCATATAACTGAATAAAACATGACTATACTATAAATTTTTATGACTCTTCAGTCATTTATTAACCTTATTTTACTTTCATTAATTAATTTATAGTACACAACTGTTATATGAATATGTGCTCATTGAAAAAAACAAAGAGACAAAACTTATTAATGAGCAACAGGGACAGAAACCGTTAATAATATATGTATTCACAGGTTTTCTTTTTTTTAATTACAGGGACTTTCTTTAAGGAATATACTGAATTGTCCTGGTTGGTTCTTGACATTTTGCGTTTTGTTAGTGATCAGAATGTACTTGCATTGGAAGGAAACAGAGCTGGAAGGTATTTATGGACACAATGGGAACTTTTACATTGGAAAAATTTTTCAGATAAAGAGGGTGAAAGGATGGTTCCCCAAAAAACAGGAATAGACTGTTTTGCTGACCTATGTCCAGGGCGGAGCAAAAGGTACAATCCAGCTTCTGTCTTGGGTCCCTTCCCTATACTTTCCTGTATACTGATGTCAGCAAAATTCAATTTTTTAGTTAGAATTTTTCCCAAATTAAAAAACTGTATTCTTAACTATCTACTTGACATGTCCACTTGATATCTAAACAGCAAGTTGAAGGTAGCATCTCCAAAACTTATCTTGGGGTGAAAGAGTTCTTTTCTCTTATTTTTTCCTAATTCAGATAATAGCAATTCCACATTTGCAAGGTGTGGTTCGTTTGGCTGGGTTGGTTTGTTTGTTTGCAACAGGGTCAAGGTAGTCCAGGCTGGCCTCAGATTTGTGGCAAACCTCCTGCCTCAGTCTCTCAAGTACTGGGGGTTTATAGGTGTGCACCACCACACCTGGCAAAGTAATCATTCTGACTATTTGTTTTCTCTCATATCACATATACAATATGAGTGCAATTAATGCTTTTTGCCATTCAGATTTTTCCATATAGGAGCTCCATATTGCACTTTCCTTTGAGCACAAGTATCCTAATCAGCTGACTTACGGCAATATATTTTTAGAACTATTCTTGAATTCCTTGATAAGATAATATTTGATTAAGATTTGTTAATGTTAACATACCTCTGGATTATTTTCCTGAAATGTACTTGTATATCCATACTTTCCTCTGTATATACCATTTTTTGTTCCACTTTATTTAACCTTCTTTACTCCTAGAATCAGTTTTATACTACTCTCAAAAATTAATTTGAATGACTTTCTAATCTTTCTCTTGCTCTGTCAAAAACCACCTTAGATATTGACATGTGCTTTTCTGGTATATTTTTCATTTTGCCATTTACTTAATAGACATCATTGAAGAATACATTTTAATGCTAAAATAATGATATAGAAGTCTGAGATCAATATTTTTTAAATTTCCAGGTAATTCTAAAGGAAAGCCAAGGTAGAAACCACTGCTCCAGGAGAACATATAAAGGAACGCTGACACAACTTATCCCTCTTGTAATTAGCAGACTTTTCTCAGGGATCTGCTCTACAAAGAAATATTTTGTACTAACCCAGGAAAGATTATCAACCATCAACCAAAATTGCTTTGGCTATCTAGAGGTATGATGTAACTTACCTCCAGTGTGGTCTGAAAGAATATTTACTCACACAGGGACAATCAAGGGTCGGGGAGGATACAAGCTGAGTTAAGGGAAAGGGTGAAACCATATTCATGGCTTGAAATTTTATTGTTGCTCAGAGAAGGGCTACAGTGGGATTTCTTCAAAGAGTCTAAGATATGTGAGGTTTGGAGTTCTTTCCAGTGAGAGAGAACAGAATTTGAGTGCTAACCCTGTTTTCTTGCCAGTCTCACATGTGGAGGGGTAAAAAGATAGGTGTAATGGAACTAGACAACCTGTCAAAGATCAAAAACCAAATATAAGGACTACAAAAATAGATTCTCCTGAGGATTCTGTTTGTATTAAGTTTTATTTTCTATGTATGAACAGAATGCTGTCCAGAGAGATGAAGCTATAGATGAATCAGTGTCTTCATGTCCTGGTCAGTCATATCTTTATGACCAACATCCTTAGCGCAAACATTAAGCTTCTCATAGATTAAAGACAAGATGTACAATGTTCATGGATTGGAAGGTTCAAATTGTTAAGAGGTAGATTTTTTCAAAATATCAATAAAATTTTAATAGATTTTTCTCTGGAAATTGACAAGAAAATTGTGACATTGAGATTAGAATACAAGAGAGCTACAGATTGGAAGGTCCACATGAAGATTGTTGCCAACGACAGAAAAGGAGAACTGGAGGGGAAGAAGGTGTGCTGTTGATTCTCCTGGAGAAGCTTGTCATACTGGCTTTCCTGATATGAACTCAGCTGTTCTCATTGTTGGAGGAGCTCAGGTCCTTACTGTCTTCACTGTGGATAGCTGTGATTCTCTTTGGGGAGCTCTGGTCCTTACTTTGATTGTCACTTCCTGGCTCAGCCTACAGGCAAGGATTCTTCATCCACCCTGTGCAGGCTTTCTAGCTTCCACCACCGATGTTTGGAACTTCACAGTTCAAATCCTTGATACAGACTGGCATGTGACATTGTCATGGGCTCTAGGCCTCCAGTTAGACTCATGGAAGACATTGCCAAGGGCTTTAGGTCTTCAGCTGGACTTGTGCAGGACATTGCTGTGGGATCCAGGTCCTTCACTGTATTCTTTGGGTCTTTAGTGCACAGACGTATCTCTTGCATTCTTCTGCATTTGACTATTTGGGTAAATATTATAAAATAATCCTATAAATTGTGTGTCCTGTATTAAATCTTTTCCCTTGTAAGCCCTGACTACAATAAAATTGGTACCAGAAGTGGAGTCATTGTGATGTTGCCTGGCCATGTGGCTTAAGAGCCTTGGGAATTAATTTGGAAAGGTTTTGAGAAACTAGCAGAAGAGGCAGCCCCCGTATGTGTAAACCCTGACTACATCAATAACCAAATCAATTTTGAAAAGAAAAAAAAGCTGAAATAATGAGACTAATGCATATAAAATGTTGTCATAAATTGACAATCTGCTAATGGAACAAATATTGAAGGCTAGAACAATGAAAAAGCATAAAGACAAGAAATAGACCGTGATACTTGATTTGTGACTAATGTGTCACTGTAACTCAGTGAGCATAGGTATTCTTTCATAGATGTTGAAGGTCACATAAATATTTGCTGTCTCCCAACAAATGAGGAAGTATCTTTTGATTTAAACAATAAGTATACTTACAGGAATCTACAATAAGTGTATGATGAAAAGCAAAGTTTAAAAGATAAGCTTAAAATGGTGATATTCATCAAATATTAGTCTTAGGTTTTTACTGTATAAGCTGACTTCACTAGACTATGCAATATAATTATTTTTAAGGAAATTTTTAATTTTAACTTTGACTTTAATAACTTTGTCCTTTGATCTGTTTTTGCTGAACAGGATATTTAAATAGCTAAGTGCTGGTAAAAACAAAAGCCATAAAGAGGATCATTAAGGATGAATAAAAACATTTTATGTTAATTAGCCAGCTGTACAAAGACACAGGAGTACCTACTGTTTCTTTGTTTTCTTATTGTAGAAACGTGGAGCAAGCATATTCTAGTGACTAATGTTATTCTGCCCTTTCCTGGTTTGAAATGAAATTCCACTTTTACATGCATTCTAGGCCAGCAACAGCTTCAAGGTAGAATCTTCATGAAAATTTCTCCTGAAAAATCACACACACACACACACACACACACACACACACACAGACTATATGAAAATATTGATCTATATAAATTGCCCAACAATCAGAGAATAAGTTTTGATCCCATATAAGATTTCAGATTTATATTACCAAGTCCAGTATGTCTTTCAAAATCTTTAAAAAATCTGAAATATTTATTTGATTTTAATTATTTACAACCATTAGATAAATTCAGAAATAACTTCCCCATGCCATTTGCTGAGCGTAAATCTTAAAGGAATAAAATTTTCCACAGGCAAAAAGAGTACAACATATTCAGGTATAAACATAGCTGAAAATAAATTCTTAATTTTCTAAGTACTTTTTATGTAATATTTATATGTCAACACTAGGAGGTTTTGCTTCTGTAGTCCAAAGATTTCACCTTGTTCAGTACTCCTTAAACCCACATACACATAGACATAAAAACCTCCATTTATAAATGATACTTACAGAATGGTTCAAGACCAATTAACCCAAATTCTCCCTGTACTTACACATTTCAATCAAGGTTGTCTGTTGACCACTGAAAAGCCAAGTGGTATCAACACTTCCATTCCCCACCTCTAACTTTCTCTCTGCAGGATATTCTCTTACACTGAGCATTTGTCCACTTAGGATGGCTGTGGCAATAAACATGCACTCTCTATTGATACTTCTTAAACCACAGCTATTCTGCACATATTTCTGTATTTCATAGATGTAGCCAAAAGAACAAGCTTAGATAATAGACAATGTTAGAACAGAATTGATATACAGTACATGAAAGTTCCTCAGTTCTATGTCTCAAAGTTTGGTGTTTTGCTGTGCAGTCTCCCTTCCTAATTTTTGTCTATAGAAGCATGTCTAACTCTTTACTGGTGTATTTCCCCAGACTTGATGCCATAAAAGTGGGGCTTATCACTCTTTAATTCAACTAAGCTCCAGTCCAGAACTTTGAGGATATGGCAAGAAGGCGGGAGATGGTAGGTTACAATTATTTAGTCTACCTTATTGACCAGGCACATATATTCAGTAGTCAATGTATTTAATATCCAGAAATGAAAATGATTTAATGATCAGGAAGAAATTAATTCTAATTAGTTGTGAATATTAATTGAAAAAAAAACCTTTAAGAGCCCATAATTTACAATCCACAGATTTTATTTTCTGACAGCAAGCTTAAAACTTATAATACTTTTTCTGTCATCCTACTGCTCAAATACCTATGCCTTGATCCAGATAATTATTTCAAACTGTACTTCAAGAAATACCCCATATTTTGTATGAATCTAGACTACCAAAAGGATATTATTTTAGCTCAAGGAAAACAGGCAGAGGGTTCTTTGCTCTTGAGGGCTGTGTTCCTATTCAAAGCATAGCTATGCATAATAACACACATGACTTTTGAGAAATTACATTTATCTTTGAAAAATAAAAGTATTATGCACATACTAAGAACATATTTTTGTATAAAATAGAAATACCATGCCAACAAATTTAAATCTGTTGGCTGATTATTGCCCATAATTTATTTTCTCTACTTTTTAGGCAGCATTGGTGATTTTAGGCTTCTGTTTTCAGTAAAGGAAAAAAAAACTTCTAAAATGCATGAATTCTGGGCCTGCATAGCAATCATTTTATAGCCATTTTGTCAGATCTAGTTCTCTGCATTTTTTCCTTGTTTTAACAAGTTTACTAATGAAAAGAAAGCACCTAATGATACCCACTGTAACAATGTCTTAAAGGCAGGATTTGTATTCCTCCAAGGAAAGCCTCCTTCCTTGAAAGTAACTCTCACAGCCAATTTCGGATTCCCCGTTCCAGGAATTCTCTCCCAAATCTCTCAGTTAACCCAAATAATCCCCAGATGTGGATTGCAGAATTGTTCCAAAAAGGTCTTATCCCAAATACCCTGAGTCTTTCTGGATTGCAGAGGTTGCACACTATCAGAGAACACAGCACTTTTGTGAGATCACTGTAGTTGGCTCACACCCCCCAGCGTCTTGGGGAACCTGATGTCAGATCCTCCAGTAAGAGCAGAAACATTCATTTTGTCAGAGGGACATTACAATGTGCATCTTATCCAGACTATGACCTGAGTCACATCACAATTCAGACAAAAGCTGCAATTTCAAAGTGATGGTTCATTAAATTCTTTAATTTTTTTTCTGTAAAATATTTTGGGATAGATTTAACAGTTTTATACAAACATTTTCTTAAAGAAGTTATTTGAATATGAAACGAAGACATGAAAAGATGCTTGTCATCATTAGTTATTAGGGAAATGTAAGTTAAGAGGATAATTATAGACCACTTTCTGCCCATGGGAATGGCTAAAATTAAAAAGCTTGTCTTTAACTGATGGTGGACAGATGTGGTATTAGCCAGTATTCCTCTGTTGCAGGTGGGGATGTAAAATGCTACAGCCACTTGAGAAAATAGTTTGACAGCTTACTGCTTCACAGTGTCCAGAAGATTTATCCCCTCCTAGATATTTTCCAAAGAGAAATGAAAACATAAGCCCTCACAGGAACTCATACACAAATGATCACAACAGTTTTATTTGTATTAAAAACCTTGGAGGAAACCTTGTATTAAAAACCCTTACTGGCCATCAATGAGTAAAATGATAAATTGCAGCATATTCATAAAGTGGAATATTTTAGCAACAAAAAATGAACTATTGAAACTTGATAAAATATGAACAAACATGGAAAGGAATCTGTACCATCCAATGTTCAAGAGGCTTTTTAAAAATAAAAGCAATTTTACTAATTCTATCTGGCAGAATAATAGATGTTCTTCTTTTATCCTGAGCATTTCAGATGGCTAATGAGACCATTCAGGGACCTTGAAAATGCACTCATTCACACTCAGTACATTTAGATGATTATATGACAGTATTTAAAAGTAAGAATATTCTTGTACATTTGCTATGGGCTAAGTACTATTTTATACATATTAATACAGTTTAGTTCTCTGAACATTCCTGTGACTATATGTGCATAAATAAAAAGGCACTTCTTAAATGCTTCCATATAAAAGTCCTTGTTATAGTAGCTTCGGTACAAATCAACTAATGAAATGAGCAGATGCTTGTCTTCATTATCCCTGTTTTAGAAAGCAGAAGATAAAGCCACAGAGAGTAACTTTCCTGAAGACTTCTGACCCTATTGGCTAAACTGTCTACCCCTTTTTGGAAATGTCACAGTCCACAAAAACCAGAGAGATTCTCCAGGAGCCTTTTTCATAAATAACAAGTTCTTTTTCTCCAGTTCCTAGTTATCCCAGTCATAACTGGTAACTTTCCTGATAACAGATACAGGCAAGAGACTCCTACACTGACCAAACAAAACTTACATGTAACAAACTGAACATTTCCTATTTAATCTCTCCAAGTAAGAACTCGATATACTGGAATTTGTGAAGTTTCATCATTTCCAAACTCTTAGCTGCTTCTACCCCTTAAAACTTGTGCTGTCTTCTTGAAGATCCCTTTCATTAACAGGGCAAATGAGCATCAGGTACCTAGTGTTGTGTGTTCCTAGAATTAGATTTTAAAAACTCCTAAACATCAGTGCAATAAGCTCCTGGATTTTTTCCAGCTTACTGGGTGTAGACAAGTGTTGGTGCGGCTTAACCATTTGCTCTTTCTGTACTTGCCAGGTTGTCTGTGGAGCTTTGCCCCTTATGATGGGCATTGGTAGGTGAAGAGACAGTGAAACTTGGCCAGATTCACCACATCCACTTACCTCTAGCTGGCAGTGCATAGCGATTCCTTGGAGACACTCCTGGCTGTCATAGCAGCGACCACCACTTCTCCTTGTCCTCTTTCCCAACAAATGTGTGTATCGTGGTGAATCCCACTCTCAGCTTCTTTAATACTTTCAAATCTCTGAGCATAATAAAGCAGGATATGACTATATATGTTCAAGTCATGGTGGATGAGAGAAACAGGATCAGAGAATCTTTCCCTCAGAAAAATAGAACAATTATTAAATGCAAAGTAATAATATCAATTTAAAATATTAATTCTAGAGTACTGTTGTACAAGGTACATCATAGCCAACAAAAGAAGAATGACCAGGGAGAAATGATTTAATACCCATGTAAACTTAGACTTAAAACTCTTGTTAACAGAAAGGCAGTATGTGAAATTTAGGAATCATTCAACTCCCCAAAGTAGATTTTTCTTGGAATCCTCATTCTGCCAGTTCATGTGTATGAGCCTGGACAGCTCACCCAGCCTCTGACCTAAGTTTCTCAAATCTCAGGCTGAGTGGAAACACACTAAGGGCTATTGTATTAAAAAACACACATACTTTTTAAAACTGGACTGTGTACCTTCCAGTGAGTGAGCTCTTAGTATACGGGAACCATCTTATTTTTATAATCAAATCTACCTCATAATGGTATTTATGTATTAAGCACTATGGAACTTATTAGAAAATGCTACCCAAACCTGGCATTCTGTAGATTTGTGGGTCAGTACAGAACTGGCTAGAAGAATCTTTTCACAGGAGAGATATAAAGGTGAACAAGTCAGTCAACCTGTACCTATTCATATATTTGTATATATGTATGTATGTGATTATGCACATAAACACATATTTGTTGTTTATATTATATATATATTTACACAATATCTTCCAAATGCTACATTTCTTATTATTCAAAGGGCATTGTAGAAGATATATATTACATGATGTACTGTATATGTGTATATATATGGATATACCATAGATGCTTCTCAGTACTTCAAACAATGCAACATATGTACACCATACAAGTTCAGTTTTATATATTTTATAAAATATATATGTGTATATTACATATCCTTATGTGAAAGCTATTACATAAAGATAAGTAATCTTTATTTAAAAGATATTGCATATATTTTAAAATGCAATATATTTTCTATATGGAGAAGTTATATAACCTGGAATGAATATATATCTAGCTTCTCAACTCTCCACGAGGACACAAGATCATCATATTTGAAAGGAGCTAGGGAATAGATAAAAAGAGAGGCAGAGGAATTCAAGGGAGTCCCTTATCCAAGCCGCGGCGAGCAGTAGGAGTTAGAAGGCTGGGCTACTTAAAGGGAAATCTTGTATCTAGTGGAGTTTCACATACCTTTTTGAGGTTTCGGCCCATAACTGGCCGCCTCTGTGTTTCTTGGCTCATAGAAGAATGATCATATTCCAGTGCTGGGACAGTTCCCACCAAGAAAAGGCCTGCTTTTCCCATAGGCGATGGTGCACTGTGGTCTCTGCCCTGTGACGCAAGGCTGCCAGAGACTCGGAGACTCTTTCCTTTCACTTTCAGGTTTTATTACATCACTGCATTCCCTCAGGCCCCAAAATTAGCCTCAGGACATGCACAGATATGCCTGCTACAGCGGTTTGGAAAAACCTAGATCGCCCATTTAATTTTGCTTTTCTCCTGTGACTTTCCATTCTGTAGAAACCTCAACAGAAGCAGAAACTACAACAAAAACAGAGGCGCCTGTGTGCATGGGCAGGCTAGGACAGTGGGGAGAACGCGAGGCTGGGAACTACCCCGCTTCAGTAAGGCAAGGCCAGGAGCCGGGAGGGAAGAGCTCTGGTAAACACGGGGCCTTCCCTACGCGCTGGAGAGGACTCCCTGCATAGAGGCTCACACCCCCGCTGCTGGTCACCAGCATCAGTCACTGCTCTGACAGAGGAATGACAAATTTTCTGTGGTTTAGTAAACACAGGAGCAGTTCCATAGTGTTTAAAACAAATAATATTCTGAGGTGGCACTGTATATAAAAGAAGATGGTTACTCTATACAAAAAACTCACTCACTGGAAGGTACGTGGCCTTAAAAATGTGCGTGTTTGTTTAATACAATGGCCCTGAGAGTGTTTCCAGTTAACCTTACGTTTGAAACTCGTGCTAGAGGCTAGGTGAGCTGGCCAGGCTCACACACGTGAACTGACAGAATTAGGGTTCCAGGAAAAATCTACTTTGAGGAGGTTGAATGATTCCCAAATATCACATACTAGTTTTCTGTTAATTGTTTTAAATCTAAGTTTGTAGATATTAAATCATTTCTCCCTGATCATTCCTCTCTTGGTGGCTATGATGAAGCTTGTACACCAGTAGTTTGAAGTTAATGTTATTGTTTTGTATTTAATAATAGTTCTAGCTTTTGAGAAAAAGATTCTCTGATTCTGTTTCTCATTCATTTTTCCCAGGTGCCTCATTCACTGATATACATTATAATTAGCCATTTTGAAATGCACAAAAATCATGGTTTTCATATAGCTAAAAATCTTCATGATAGATCAGTTCATGAGTTAATCAGAAAACAAAGTTTAAAAAGTAAAACTAAGGGGCTGGGGATTTAGCTCAGCGGCACAGTGCCTGCCTGGCAAGTGCAAGGTTATGAGTTCAATTCCCAGAACCAGAAAAACAAACAAACAAACAAAAAACTAAAATTTTGTACCTTACTTAAAGAAAAGAAATTAAACACTTTTAATGATCAATAATAAAAAGTAGTGAAGCAGTGAGCTTATTCATTATATTAAGAAAAACATACAAAATATTGTAGTACAATTAGTTATTATATTTATGGTAAATATATACCAAATGATATAATAAATGCAATTTTAGTAAAAGATTCCAGGAATTGCCTAACACTCCTAAAAGAAAAAAAGTGAGATTTTCATCTCATATCATAGATTAAAATCATCCTAATGAAACACAGGATTTGATGAAAAGCGAATATCCATTATACAATACTGAATATAGTTCAGGTGAAAAGAGGAATACAATCAGGGAGAATCTTTGTTCTCTGACCTAGAGATTCCATAATTTAAATAAAAAAGAACCGATCTTCAGAAACTCCTGTGAGGCGCCACTGCACCTCCCTGATCAGCCTTTGAGACAGAAGGAACCCAGGCACCCTCTGGGGCCTTGGTGGCTACTCGCCACACCCGTAGTGTGTCTGTGGGGGCTGGGCTGAACCCCAGACATCTTCAGGAAGCCCAGTGAGTCACCAATGCACCTCCCTGACCAACATGTGAGGCAGGTAGAACCCCAGGCACTCTCTGGGGCCTCGGTGGCTACACATAATGTGTCTGCAGGTGATGGGCTGAGTTCTGGACATCTTCAGCAACCCCAATGAGCCACTCTGGTGCCTCCCCTACTATCTGTAGAAGATATCAGATCAGGTGTGAGGCATGTGGAGCCACTCTGGTGCCTCCCCTACTATTTGTAGAAGATATCAGATCAGGTGTGAGGCATGTGGAGCCACTCTGGTGCCTCCCCTACTATTTGTAGAAGATATCAGATCAGGTGTGAGGCATGTGGAGCCCTGGATAACTTCTGGACAACTTCTGGGGCCTTGGTGATCACTCCCAAAGCAAACTGCAGCCCCCTGGGAGCTCAGCTGAAACCTGGACGGTCAGCAGCCTCAGGGAGTCCACCCTCACCTCTCCGCTGCCAGTATGGGAAGCAGTCTCTGTCCTGGGCAATGTCTGAAATCTTGGTAAACAAGACCTGCATCCCCCCTACTCTGGTGGAAGCTGGACCAAACCCCAGACAGCTTCAGGAACTCCAGTGAGCCTCCCCTGCCCTTCCCACACATACCTAGGAGTCAACTGAATGCAAGAAAGGTTGGGAGCACCTGGGACCTCACCTTGCCACCACTCACCAGCACAGGAGCTGCACTGAGCACTGAGGATCTTCAGACACTTTCCCTGCCACTCACACACAATCGGGAGAGTAAGGCTGTACTCCAAGGAACTTTTGGATCTTCAAAAATGACAACACGAAGGAGCAAAATGCAATCCTAGACCTCCACACCACCCAAAACAAGCCCAAGAGATATCAACACAGAACAGCCTGGAAGTCATACACCTGAAATTTCTGAAATGATAGCAACTGAAGTAAAGAAACAACTCCATCAGGCTGTAGAAGATATCAGATCAGAAATAATGTCTCAGATTAAAAAAGAAATGACAACAACAATGAAAGAAGTGTTCAGCATATTCAAAGATGACATTGATAAGAAAATAGAAGAGCTTAGACAACTCTTGACAATGTTGAGCGAACAATATAGAAAAGAACTAGAATGTCTGAAACAGATTCAAACAAGTATCCAGGAAATTAAAAATTCCATTGAAAGCTGGCAAAAACTGCCTGAATGAAGCTGAAGATAGACTTTCAGACCTTGAAGAAAGTGTTGCCACTAATGAAAGTGAAAGGAGGGATCTCTTAAAAACAACAAGGGACCAGGAAATAACAATTCAACAACTGCAAGATGAAGCAAAGAAAAACAATTTCAGATTGATAGGTATCAATGAAATAGAAGGTGTCAACACAAATGACATAAAAAGACTATTTGCAGAAATAATAGCAGAAAATTTCCCAGGCATGGAAAAAGAATCAGACATACAGATAAGTGAAGCATATAGATTCCAGTTAATCATAATCAAAATATATCTACACCCAGACATATAGTGGTCAAGATCCCGGAAACTCAACAAAAGATCAGAATATTAAAAGCTGTTAGAGAAAAGAAATAGATCATCTATAAAGGAAAGCCCATCAAAATAATGGCATATTTCTCAACACATACAATCAAGGCAAGAAGAACTTGGAGTGAAGTATTTCAGGTACTGAAAGAAAACAACTTCCAATCCAGATTAATGTACCCTGCAAAACTATACTTCAAATGTAATGGAGAAACAAAATATTTTAATGATAAAGAACAACTGAAGAAATTCATGAATGCCAAACCAACCCTACAAAGAGTACTAAAAGATATTCTAGAAAGAGATAAAACTCCACAACTTCAAGAATAACAAGAGAAAGGAACCACCAAGGAGAGCAAGCAGTTAAGGAGAGGGAAAAAGCAGGATCCAACAGCAGGAAAACAACATGACAAAGATAAGCCAATACATACCAGTTATAACCATCAATGTAAATGGTCTCAATGCACCAACCAAAAGACGCAGACTAGCAGAGTGGATCAGGAAACAAAATCCAGCTATATGCTGTATACAAGAAACACATTTAACTCAAAAGGAAATTCACAGACTGAAAATTAAAGGATGGAAAACAATACTCCATGTGACAGGAACCCAGAAAAAAGCGGGTGCAGCTATTCTGTTTGCAGACAATGTGAACTTCAAACCAAGAACAATCAAAAGAGATAGGAAGGTCAGTACATACTTGTGAGGGGAAAACTTCAAGAGGAAGAGATAACAATCATAAACATCTATGTACCAAATATAGGAGCACCCAACTATATAAGACACATTTTAACAGACATGAAAAATGAAATAAGCAGCAAAACAATCATAACAGGGAACTTTAACACACCAATGTCACAGAGATAGATCAACTAGACAAAAAATTGGGAAAGAAATAACAGAACTTAACCAAACTTGTGAACATATGGACTTAGTAGACCTTACAGAATGTTCCACCCAACAGCATCAGAATACACATTCTTCTCAGCTGCACATGGGATGTTCTCTAAACTAAACAATATACTAGTACATAGAACATGTTTAAGTAAATGCAAAGGCATTGAAATTATCTCTTGTGTACTATCAGACTATAGTGCACTGAAATTAGAAATTAATGACAAAAGAAAACACAAAAACTCCATAACCAGTTGGAAATTAAATAACACCCTTCTGAATAACCAATGGGTCACAGATGAAATCAAAGTAGAAATTAAACACTATTTACAATCAAATGAAAATGTACATACAATCTACATGAACCTATGAGATGCAATGATAGCAGTCCTCAGAGGGAAATTTATAGTGGATAATTCCCACCTCAGGAAAACAGAACAAGCACAAATAAAAAATTCATATACTGCACCTCAAGTTCCTAGAAAAAGAGAAGCAAGTAAAGCCCAGAGCCCAAAGAAGACAGGAAATTGTAAAGCTTAGGGCAGAAATTAACACAAGACAAAAAAAAAAAACCACAAAGAATTAATAAATGAGTTGGTTCTTTGAAAGAATAAATAAAATAGATAAATCCCTAGCCAACCTTATCAAAAAAAGGCAAGAAAAAACTGAAATATAGGCAATAAGGAATGAAAGGGGTGAAATCATTACAGGTCCTGAAGAAATTCAGAAGATCATCAATATCTACTTTCAAAATCTTTACTCTTATAGGATGGAAAACACAGAAAAAATGGACAGATTTCTGGATACACATGAATTACTAAACTGAATGAAGATATAAAAATCCTGAATAACTTTATATCAGCCAGTGAAATTGAGAATGTAATAAAAACTTGCC